CACACAGGAGCTGAATGCACTGAATAAGAAGTTGCAGGGCCAGGGCCAGCTTGTCAGTGCAGCATATGACAATGTCAAAGCATTCTCTACAAAACTGGTGTTATGGAAAGCCCAGCTCCCTCAGAAAAACCTCTGCCATTTCCCAGCATGCAAGGCTCTCATGGACAAGGGCACAGCATTCAGTGGTGAGAAGTATGTTGATGCCATTGTGAAGCTACAGGAGGAATTTGATCAGCGGTTTGCAGACTTCAAGACACACAGAGCCACTTTCCAAATGTTTGCAGACCCCTTCTCCTTTGATGTGGAAAATGCCCCTGGTGTGCTTCAAATGGAGCTCACTGACCTGCAGTGCAATTCTGAGCTCAAAGCCAATTTCAGGGAAGTGAATGGGAAAGCAGACAAGCTTGGACAGTTCATGAGAGAATTGCCCCCCTCCTTCCCTGAGCTTTCCAGGATGTTCAAGCGGACCATGTGCCTTTTTGGGAGCACATATATGTGTGAACAGCTCTTCTCCACCATGAACATCAATAAGTCAAAGTACAGGTCCAGACTTACTGATGAACATCTTCAAGCCATACTAAGGGTTTCAACTGCTTCCTCCCTCAAACCAAATGTGGCTCAGCTGTGTGAGAGGAAGCGCTGCCAGCAGAGCCATATAATAGAAGAGTTACGACATCTCCGTTCACTCCAATGGACCACTTTTTTTACAGCAATGGCGGATCGTGGAGCCTCTCAATCGTTCCCCGGAAGTTAGCGCCAAGGCTAGCAGAGCTGTAGAGTTGCAGCATAATAGACCGTTCGTGACGGACTTTTAAAGGTAAGAAGAAGTTTAAAGATTTATATTGCGGATATTATCAGTACATCTGATTAAAATTAACATGTGTATTAAAGGATGTCAGTGGATTATCCCTAAATTAGTAGATTTAGGGAACGTTTACAGATAACAGATTAAGCTAGGATACCGAAGCAAGTTAGCAACACACATTGAACAGCCTTTTAATTGTAAATTCCGTTCTCTTAATGTCTATTTGGTCCAACGTTGTTGAATTAGAGAAGAGGGGCTTCTAAACGGGATTGTATGCGGGGGTGGATGGAGTTAAATATTAGATAAATATAACTGTGGTGCGTGTAAGAGTTAGTGTTTTTAGCAGAGCCATATTGTGTCCTTGTGATTATGTTGATTATTACCTGTCTGTATAATGTTGCAGCTCAGCTGATTTTGGATTGATGGCAAAGGGAGAGGGACTTAAGTGAGAGTGAAAACACAAGGTAAGTTTAATACTAGTGTTTTATATAAGTAAGCATACTAAACATGTATTATATCACTGTATTATATAAGTAATCTTGTTAGTAACCTACTGTATGGCAGGTGGAGGGGCAGTGATGTTACAGGTGGAGGAGCAAAACTGCAAGACTGCAAACTCACAAGACAGAGAAATCAAAGTTTGTTCTCCAGAGAAGAGGTTGATTTCACTTCAATGTTTTATTTCATATTTTCTAAAGATGTGGAAATGGCAAAAAAAACTACTTGAGAGCTGTAACCAAGACAACTGTAACAACATGAGTAGAGAGCCACCAAGGTTATTCAAGTCCCTCTCTTACTCCATTTTGCCAACCCAAACTTCCAGGTACATGACGGGACACCTTGCTTGGTTTTGTTGTTTGCGCTCCTCTGGCTGGGTGCTGGCAGGTGGAGGGCAGTGATGTTAGCTGGGTGCTGGCAGGTGGAAGAGCAGTGTTTTCTTATATTTCTTGTCCCTAATTTTCATTGTTGTCTTGAGAGCTGCATTTTCCTTCCTGATTTTTCTTAGTGCAACCTTTGCTTTTTGGTGATTCCTTCTTGGCTCTTTAATTTTCTCTTTAATTGTTTTAATAGATCTGTTTGACTGGCTGCTGGTTCCCTCGTATGCTGACTGGCTGCTGGTTCCCTCGTATGCTGACTGGCTGCTGGTTCCCTCGTATGCTGACTGGCTGCTGGCTGAGTGGGTGGTGTCCGCCCTCCCTGTCTCTCCTCACTAGCCATGTCCTCTATTTCTTCACCCTCACTTTCCTTTCTCTCAGTCTCCTCATCCCTTCTTCCCTCAATCTTTGAGACTAATGTAAGTAGAAGACATGGCACTGTACATTTTCGAACATTTAAAATATTATACCACTTAAAAATAAGAAATATTACTTTTGTTACTAAGAGTTCATACTTATTATACCTGTGTCAACTTTCACACTATAGCTGTGATCATGAGCTATGGGCTTTGTAGATACAGGTCCCGGGGTGAATCGTGGTGCAGGGGCCCTTCTCTTTTTGACCACAGGGCGATGCACGAAGATGGTGGGTATAGCCTCTGCTCTCAGCCTAGTCTTGCCCTTTTTTGTCTTGACAAACTGGTCTGCATCAAAATGTGCCTGCGGAGTGACTTGAGGTTACTTCACACACAGAACAACTCAGTTTTGTCTGCCCACATACATATTCCATAGTGGTTGAATACACAGTATTTGGAAACACTTTATACTTACTGGACATGTTACACTCATTACATACTGTATATAAAATATGACCAAGAATGTGAGACAACTTTATAGAAATTCATATCACATCTGTTTTTGCCATTTGTCATACTTTGTTAAACTCACAAATAATAAAGTTCCATAACTTCAGTTGGGAACAAAGACCACACCTTATCTCCCCAAGGCAATTTCCCATCCAATAGGTGTGCTATATAAGTGTGTATAACCCTTTCTCCTGTCTGTTACTCCCTCTTTCAGCACAAGAACCAGAGGGGGATTCAATGAAGCCTGAATACCTGCACTGAGACCCTCACCCTGCACCCTGAGTCTCAACTCTCAGTGTTTTTCAAGCCTTTTCCTGTTTTTTTTTATTAAACAAAACATTAAGCTTTCCCAATGGTGTGGTTTCGTTTTGTGAAAAAGTGCAAATGCAGTGTTTGTATATAATTACATCACATGTTTTGTTGCTGTTGGTCGCGAAATTGCTCCTGCTGACTTGAGCCAGCCATTTTTTCCTCCGCTCTGTGTCAGTGGGGAAGCCGTACATTTGTACTCCTTTCTCAGAGCGATTTGAGCATCCCCAGGCAGCACAGCAAACCAAGGTGGCGACTAGGAGGCAGCACAGCAAACAACACGGAGGAACAGGCACAGACAAACTGCATGATATGCTATTCAATGTTTATTGAATTCCATGTATTTGCAATGGATGTTCCTAAAACAACACATTTAACATCATCATCATCATCATGCTGCTGCTGCTGCTAGTCCTTTGATAGTCACCTGTCGGTCTCGTGTCCTTTCTGAAAGCCATAAAGATGAAAATTAGTCATTTAGATAACTTGTGTCCTCAATTACCATGGGATTACCATGAATTTAATAACATGGTAGAAATTAATCTAATCTGAATTTTAAAGCATTACTTTAGATCCCCTCCCTCTAAATATATCAATAAACATTAGAAAGTGATGCTCCTGACTACCATACAAGTTTAAGAAGATAATATTGGTTTTAAAGAATTCAAAGCTATAAATAAACAGCAACAGGCTCTTTAACCAAGGCACTGTTAGCCTAACATGTAAACTAGTTGTTCACACTAATCCTAATATTATCACTTAATATTAGCAAATTCTATTTTATTTTTTAAAACATATTGATGTAAATACATACACATATCGATTTGTTGTATACATATTGCAAATCAAAACCTTTATTCACTAATAATTACCAAAAATCGTAGTTCTATCTCCTGTTATCAATGCATTCACATTGCCCGCCATGAACTTCCGGGGAACGATCCTCTTCTACATGAACCACGTGACGATAACCGTTTTTGGACTTCCGTTGTCGTAACTCTTCTATTATATGGCTCTGGCTGCCAGGTCCCTACCAGCAAGGAGTAGGCAAGAGCAACTGGAAATAGTTATGTTGTGAAGAACCGTTCATGTTAAGAAGATGTTGAAGAACTGTTAATGTTGTATTTTTTAATACATTTTTTGTGGAATACTTGAAGCGGCCCAGACTTGCCCAGACTCTACGTCCAGCGGCCCCCAGGTAAATGGAGTCTGAGACCCCTGGTGTAGAGCTTGATGACTGGTACTCTAATTGTCATTAGAGGTTAGTTTCCTCTCTCTGAGCTATGTTCTGCTTTTGTCTTGGCCACAGGGATGGCAAATGATACCTAAGTGGTGTGGATCACTCATAAACGTTTACATTTCAGTTTTTTGGCCATGTTTTTAAGTTTGTTCTGTTACACATGTTCCCCCTGAGCCAGTGGAGGAGTCTTATTTTATCCTAAACAAATTCTACTTCATCTTCTGAAATCAGCAGAAGAGATGTTTCATTTCAATTCAGACTCTTTTACTAGTTTAGAGGAAACATCGCCTATTGTTTTATCCATTTTGTATTTTATTTATTTTTCTGTTGAAGGAAGAATGTCTCATTAACATGAGGTGCCTCCACGTGTCAGTATGAATGTCTATTTATTATTTTAGTTGCTTTTATTTAAGTTTCATCTTCCTTTGAACAAATAAAAGCCATTTTTTAAGTTGAGTTGCTTGTCATTTCATCCCACCATCATCAGACATTTTTAGAAAAACAAACAAAACAATTTCTGTCAATTTCTAAGGGTTATAAAGCACTCGGTTGGCCTTTGGGGGAAAGGGGATGTGTCTGAGCAGGTTTAGGGTGTGGTGTGTGTCTCCCAGGATACCCGCCCTCTCACACCGAGCCTCCTCTTGCCTTCTGCTGCGCTGCCTTTCATTTCTGTTCTTTTATACTGTCCTCCTTAACCTGCCTCCATCAGGTCTGATTGTGATTGGCTGTTCTGTTGATACATCACATCTCCTTGTTGGGGAAACTGGTTTTACTGGTTCAAGTTTGTGGACACTGCAGCAATGTTTGGTTTGGCCGATGGGAGCTGCTCCCATGAAAAACGGTTCCTCTTGTAAAGATGACGCGTGTTGTATCTCTGACTCTTGTTTTTGTTCTCCCCTCTACAGAGTGCCATGCGTGCTATCATCGAAACTGCTTCCGGACAGGTAAAGACTGTCCTCGATGTCAGCGGCTGGCAGAGCGGAGGGAGAGGCTGGCACGTAAAAACATGGAGGAACAAGAAGATGAGGGAGGTGGGTCTTAGTGCTGGTAACCGAATAAACTCTAAGACGAGAGAAGAGCACAATTCGACCATGATTGTAGTGACTGAACACCTCCCTTTGCATTCTAATCCTCTGCCTGCGAGACAATACTGCAAACAAATGTTTTGATCTGATAGACTTCCAGATGGTTTAAACACATCCGGGCATCAGCTGTGTTAGTAATGCTACTGTGGATTTTCAGATGCTTTTAGTGTAAACTAAGCCCCTTTCACACTTGCACGTTACTCTGTGAATAGAGGTAGTCAGCGTAACTTTGAATAGAAGACCTAAGTTGATTTTCCATGAAAATGAAGTGTCTTTCAAAGAGATCGCAAAAAGAAACTTGGCTTTAAAAACAACATTCATTGAATTAAGTTCAGATAGGTTTATAACTCATTCCTAATGTAACTTTATTTAGTTTGATACTCTGGTGACCTCTACTGGCAGTATCACCAAACACATTGTGGCAGTTGTGGGACAAAGATATACACTTAATTGTTCTAAAGAAAAGTGTAAATGAAAAGTCCCTCTGCCTTACAGGAATATTCCACACTGTCCATGTTGCAGTAACATGTGCAACTTCTTGGCACTTTGTTCCTCTGTGGTACAACTAATATATTTGAGGTCTAAGTAGATCAGAAAACGATTATAACCAGCTAAGATATTGTTCCTTCCTACCATTGCAGCTTCTGGCAACTGCTTTACCTCTGGTGATATTGTTGGCTACTGGCTTAGCTGAAGTTTGTATTTCTGAACTAAGGATCTATTTTTAAGAAATATATAATGGCAAGTACAAAAAGCTATAGTCTATATTTTTGACAGATTTTTCAGTGCAGATACTGTATTTAAGCAATCCTGCCCTTAACGTTAATATATTGAAGATATTTAATCAATCCTATTCTTTTCCTCGCTCCTTACTGTCCTGTTTTAAACTCTTTTAGCCATGCTGATGTGCCTCTGGGACCAATTAACTTGTACTGGTAGAGCTAGCAGAGTTATTTTGGAAAGATGAGTTTAAAGAAGGACTTCACTTCTGAGTTTTAGAATCAGTGTTGAAAATATTTTAAATGAAACTGCAAATGCTCCATTTTTGTGCTGCTTTGTGTGAGTGTGTGTGTGTGTTTACTACGAAAAGCTTTGTGAATAGGTGTGCTTGTGTGTGTGTATGAGCACATGTCTACCTGCTGTACATGCAGCCATGCAGAAATGGTTTGATCCAGCCTAATCAGCACTTATTTTCTAACAACGTTTGTATTTGGAGAGTCGAGTTAATTGCACTGATCCTGTCTGTTGGTGGGGGTGGGACGTCACTATGGGGATTTTTCTAATGTTCGTTATAAGAACATGAACCTTCACCGTGAAATGTTGCTGTTTGTTGAAGTCACATGTTAAAACGTTTCAGTCCGAAATAACAGAGCTACAATTAAATAAAGTGATTATATTAACATGCAGCAAAATCATTACATATTCATCACCTTTTGGACTGAACCTCATCACATTTAACTTGGTTTTCACTTTCAAATAATTTTGGTCTAGTACAATGGTTTCAAAACGTATTGGCCCTACATTTGTAGCAAGCAGCTGGATAGTTTACCTTTGCATTGCATCGAGTCTTGTAAGAGAGCGAAGCTGATGGCTCGGTAAAACAACCTGCATGCTAGCACCATTAAAGCTCAGTATTTAACAAAGCAGTTTTGACCAAATGGTCATTTTGATTTCATTATATCTTGTTTATTCAATCATCTGGTGACCCCCTTAGTGTGGAACCACTGGTCTGATATTCATTTGAGATTGACTTAAAACATCTTATGTTACTTCTAGGACTCAAGTGACTACTATTTGCTCAGTTGGTTAGATTAAAACTCTAGTCTAGAGTATATTTTAAAATAAATTATATATAAAGTTCAAGCCATAGTTATTTATAGAAGGATATTTTTGAGATTGGCAACACACTGATTAAATCAAACCCTTTACACTGAACTCCAGTTCCAGGGGAAATTGTTAATGGAGAGTACATACCATCCCCAACAGACTTTGCTTTATGTGTACAATCTTTCACTAGTTAAATAAACTCATGAGATAAAATGTAAAGTGATACATGTGACATGTCCCCAAGCCTCTAAAGACGAGTATTAAAGAGATAAACTGCACCCATGTCTCAGTTTAAACCAGGATGCTTTGAAAGGAAACACTGAACTCTTCAGCTCGCGGCTCATGAACAGCTCCACTGAGAAGAGTCTACTCAGCAGATGGTTTTACTCTTGGACCGCATTTAAATGGAGGTGTGGGGAGGTTTAATGTGCACTACAGATTAAAGTGTCCATTATTCAAATTGTTAATTATTGTTAATATAAATATGATTTATGTTCATTTGTCTTTTGTTCTGTAAATATGTTCACAATAAAAGAATGGCCGGACTGTTGATGCGGGTTGTTGTTTATTAACAAGAATATGCTAATATCATTAAACTGAAGAAGGGAGGCAACTATACATTTATTTTTTAATCAGAGCCAAATGTGACTTTTGAGTCCATGGTTGCGTTCCGATAATCCAAAAATCAGCTCCTAAATTCTAACCCTATCTCCTATTCCTTGACCTCTGAGTGAAACGTCACGGGGTTAAGGGATAGTGGATAGGAGAATTCAAAAGGATTTAGGAGAAGAGACCGCGGTACTTTAGAGAATCCGAATGCACTTTCACTATCCGACGTGTATATGATGCGCCAGCGGACGTCATGAATGTGCGTCTGCTGCTGTGGGGAAACTATGGAAACTACAGTTTTCTATACAGCGGACTACAACATGGATGTTTAATAAGAACGAGGGACTACTGTAAACTCATCTAGAGACTCTGCACCGTGCTCTGATGCTGTTGCTTTATGCTTTATGAACGTGGACAACAGAGAAACATATTCTTCATGACCAAAGTTGGAATTGAAATAAAAAAGGAAAGTGAAACTTATGCTCATCACCCTCTCCCTCCGGTCCACATTAATACAAATGATCCCAATACGTATGATTGTATGAACTATGAAAATATCTTAAAATCAATACAAATGTGTTTATTATAAACGTTAGTCCTTAACATCTATCACTGTGTATATCATCATTCAAACATCTTTTAAAAGTTTGTGGTTTTGTAGCGAGGAAAAAAATGGCTGCCTAACAAAACAAATTCAGAGTCTAACGGGGCGTGGTTTGCAATTCGCCCAGCCAATAGAAATAGAATCGAAATTGGCACTCTTTTATCACCAGGTTAGTACTACCTCTCTAGCAGGGACTAAAAATGGCCAAAAGAGTTCCCGGCACTGAGTAGTCCCGGCGGTGTGAACGCGACAAATGAATTGTAAGAGCAGCATTAGCTGTGGATTGACTAATTCACTAAAAGCTGTAATTATATATTTTGTTTGGAGTATATATTTAAGCATTTTGTATTCGTACACAGAAGGTAGATATTACCGTTGATATTTACTGGCTTTTGTCTTTTCCTGTCCTGCCAACACATTCTCACTCCCTAAGCGTCCAGGAGCGACGTTTGGTCAGTGTCCGTGGCGTCCAGTTGTGACGCTCCTAGGCTCCTTCAGCGTCATAAAGGGACGCAAATAGCTTTCAACTGATTGCAATGTATTCCCATCTGCGGCGGGATTTGACGCTCATGGAAGCACGGCATTCGTTTGTGTCGGCTGCCCTTAAAGGCAATGTGAGCGTCCATTCCCATTGGATAACGGAGAACTGTACACCCAGAAGTAAGTATTCCTCTTACTGTCGATTGATTTTACAGTGATATCTGCACTACTCATCGACTAAAAAACACAAGATTATCCTTGTTAATTACACAATATTGATTGGTTTAAATTGTGTGCAATGCTTTTGTATTTTTCCCCTTCGATTCGGAGAAACAAATATTTTTTCTGAGTAAAGGATGGCAGAAGACACTACACTGCCCAGAATCCCCAGCTATCCTTTGGACTACACCCTGTGCTCTGTTTGACTAACCCCGTGATAGTCCTCAAGCTCTGTGATTGGAGAGTGTGCTCCGAGGGTTAAGCCGATTCTCGAACAGCACTTGAAATGGGATGGAACCATGGCAGACTGTCCAAAACTGGATTTGAACGGGTCTACCGCGTCCCCCCACCCCACCCCAGAACTACACATGCTGGCTATTCTGTTTCGCAACATGTTCTCTATCTATGGCACGTCTCTACTGGGAGTTGTAGTTTTAAAAGACGTTTTCGTATTTCCCATAATAAGAAGTTGCCAGTATTAAACGGTGTACATCCCTGGAGGTTTAGGGGATAGGAAACACTCAAATTTAAAACATATAATTAATAAATGGGTGAAAATTGCTTGTGCCCATAATGGGCAGCATTAATATATATACACACATGCCAGCTAAGGTCAGAAGAGCTTTATTTAACAGCTGGTCTTATGTTTGTGACCCCTGTTGTTAATTGATAACATTACATTACATTAATTGATAAGCCTGAAACATGCACTTGTCAAGGTTCAGAGGCAAATTTTGCAAATATGGCAGTAGCCATCGATCAGCTTAAGATAAGATATACTTTATTGATCCCAAGTTGGAACATTTGCGTTACATCAGCATGTGTAACAGTTGTAAGTATGCAGTGGTGTTTATTTGTAAATCATTTAGTATAATCACACAAATTCTGTGTTTTATATTTAACAATTCTGTGTTCTTTATTTTATTGATTGTTCAATACCTGACAAGGCCGGAGATGAAATATCTACATACATCTTATAAGAGTATAATACATTATGTATAATATCAGTTAAAATAAGTGCTTCAACATAGTTAACATCGCTGGAGGTATGCACAAATATTGATAGATGTCTTGTAATGCACTATTGAGGAACCTGCGACCCAAGTTTTTCATTCAATGCAGAACTACACCATAGTTGTGTAGGCCTTTATGATATGTCAATACACCTTAGAAAATCTTGAAATCTTGAAAGTGATGTGCAAAATAGTCATTATATACAGTCTTTAATGAACTATTAGTAGAGAATAATGAATATACTTTATAGGGATCCTATTAATATCTAATAATAAAAATAATGAAATTCAATAACATGCTTTAACCACAAGGTGTCCCTTTATATCAGCTGTGCACCTTTATGGTGTAAATACAGCCTATCTACCAATTGGATCAAATATAAAAGTCAGCCGAATTAGTGTTGATACTGCAAGGAGACGTATTGTGTGAAAAAATAAATGTAAGATGTTGTTTAATGGCTGATATATTTATGATCCACGTCACGTTTTCAGTTCCTCATGTTTGTCTAGAAGTCTTCTCATCAGGGCTCTATAAATACAGAACTACGGCAGATATGTAATATTTAATGCAGCCGAACCGTGTATTACAATGCCGTTATATGATGACTTTCAAAGAGAAAAGCAAGCACACTCGAAATAAAGTATTTTTGTATTTTTTTGTAATGTTTTCGGTCTGTTTCCGGTATTTGTTAATGACGATGTGCTGTGAGATGTGAGACTGGAATTGCACAGGGGAAAATAACGTAGGCTATCTTTAGATGCGGATTTTGTTTACTAATATGTTTGCGCTGTGGACCAACACTATATATTGACGGGGAAGGGGGTAGCAATAAAGATAACACCATTAAACAGTTACACAACATAACAGAAATAATATCGATAGCAGCGTCCCTAGCAACCACCTTGGTAACAATGAAAACGTCGCGATTTCCTGAAGTAATCTTCGTAATAACTAGCAAACTAAAGATCATGTACATCCACTGCACACATAATCTGAAATAACAACTCATATTTCTCGCATCAAATGACATCAAAACGCATTTTAATGGCCAAACTAACTTTAAAATAGGCATTTTCCACCAAGAATAAAACGAAGTTCGGCCATGTCTTCTTTTTCTGCAGGGAGAAATTTGAAGATCACGTGAAATAGACGTCAGCCATTGGAATGAATGGTGAAAAAAAACGGGGTTTGTCAAACAGAGCACATGGTGTAGTCCAAACGATAGCTGGGGATTCTGGGTAGTGTAGTGTCTTCTGCCATCCTTTACTCAGAAAAAATATTTGTTTCTCCGAATCGAAGGGGAAAAATACAAAAGCATTGCACACAATTTAAACCAATCAATGTTGTGTAATTAACAAGGATAATCTGGTGTTTTTTAGTCTATGAGTAGTGCAGATATCACTGTAAAATCAATCGACAGTAAGAGGAATACTTACTTCCCGGGTGTACAATTCTCCGTTATCCAATGGGAATGGACGCTCACATTGCCTTTAAGGGCAGCCGACACAAACGAATGCCGTGCTTCCATGAGCGTCAAATCCCGCCGCAGATGGGAATACATTGCAATCAGTTGAAAGCTATTTGCGTCC